ACTGTTCAAGGACACACGGTGCACTGGTCTCCCTTTTCAAACAGAGCACAGTGACCCTAACTCAGGCTGTGTTTGGTTATTCCAGGTTAGACAGATCAATTATTAACAAGCCAGTCCCCTGAGGTCAGAGCTGGCCAGCACGTGAAGTAGTTTACACTACACTAAATGGGCCAGCGAGCCATGCCTGGAGCATGTGCAGGGAGTTTGTGTTGATAGCTGCATAAAAGAGAGGACAAGGAAACTACTAGAAGTCACAGAACCCCCCAGTTTCTCAGCTCGTCACAACTGAGCAACATACAAGTCTCTGAGGCCACACTGAAGGGTTCCCTGGTGACTGAAGTGTGAGCTATTTAGTACCTGTTCTTTATATTAACCATGTTGGCTGATTTAACACTTTGGGCCTTACTTCCTATTCCTTGGCTGGGTTCCTGTGAGTTCATTTTCCTAAATGATTGAGGTCTCAGAGTATATAAGAGAATATACGCAAAGCTGGAGTCACGGATGCGGTCAGGGGTAGAGGGTTTTGTTTTCCTGCTCAAAAACCTCCAACCATCTGCTTTCTTTTTTTCTGGAGTCCCCCCAGGGAAGACTACCCTGCCTGCTCCCCGATCCTCCAGCCACACCTGGCTGATCCCAGGTGAGTCCTTGCAACACAGCTGGCACTTCCTCCCCGAAGCCCCGTCCAATGCCATGCACAGCCTCTCTACCCAGATACCCTTTGGCTGGGCCCTCTGCCAACCAACTTGGGCACCTCCAGACTCACACAAAGCCTTCTCTGCCTTTCCTGGGCCCAGTCACCCTGTCAGCTGGGCTCACCACAACGGAAGCCCACTGTTTCCCTCTCCGGCACACGGCAGAGCTGTGCCCGCAAGCCCCCCCCATTCATGCTCCCTTCTCAATGAGCTTTCTTCTTCCATCTCCTCCCCCATCCCCAAAACACACAAAAGAGAACTAGAAAGCAGCATCTTTTTCCCTCTATGTGAATAAAAGGGGCTGGTTTTCCTTCCTTTCTGGTTTCCTACCCTGGTTCTAAATTTGGCCCCTGGAAAAAAGAGGGCAGCAGTTAACATGAACCCAGCCTGTGACCCAGGGCACACTCCTATGGCCAGAATCACCCTCACTTGCATCGTTTTTGGGGGACAGGGGTGGGGCATCTAAAACTCTTATCACCCCCCTCAAACACCTGCTAGGAAACAATTTTGGAACAGCATTAGGGAGGCCTTAGTGGTTCTCTTAATCCACCTCCTAAGTTAAAGAAGGGGAAACAGGCCAAAAGAGGTGAAGGATGCTACCCAGGCCGTTGGGTGAACTCTCTGGGTGGGAGGTACTTCAGGGTACCGTCCTTATGGGCACTGAGAAAATGAACATCTTACCGTCATCCAAGTAGGTCTGGTCCAGGTTTTGCTCCTGCTTAATTGTCACTCCCGCAGGTAATACTTCCTTTTGATCACTGACTGGGGGTCCATTTTTGGCAGCTCTTTGGCTGGTGGCATTTTGCTGCTGAATGACTGTGGGGTAGGAACCTGGGCTTAACCTCTGACCCTGACTGACCGGGGGTTGGCTGGGCCTGGCGGTGCTGGGTGCGAAATTCTCACAGCACATGAAGTGCTTGAACTCCTGGTGGCTCCCACAGCGCAGCTGCTGGTTGGTGGGCGAGTAGTGGATCACCGGCGAGGCTTGCTGATTGGCCGGGGGCGCGTGCAGCAGGGCGGAGCTCTGGCCCTGGGAGCCGGCATGCACCAGCACGGAGCGGTGGGCATCGGCAATGGCCAGCGGGGCGGCCATGAGGGCAGGCTGCTGGTAGCCAAGCCGGCTGGGGCTCAGGCTCTTGCTCCGTTGGTAGAGGACGGCTGCTGGGTTCTGCTGCTGGTAGCAGGCGTCGGGGGACGAGAGCCCTGAGCGGAACTGCTGGCAGGGAGCCATGGTGGCCACGAGGCAGGAGGGGGACTCGGCCACCATCGGGTGCTGCGGGTAGTAAGGCTGGCTCCCCAGGCCTGCATGGGCAGGGCTGCAGATCAAGGTGGGGTCATACTCGTCGGTGGGCTCCGTCTTGATGGCTGGAACTACGAGAAGAGAAAAAGCACACGGGGCACATGGCCAATGAGCCACACATGTGCAGAGAGGCGGCACGGACAGCGGTGGGGAATATGGGGTCCAAACGGCTGGGATCAGACGCTGGGGCTCTTTTGCTTATTAGCCTTGGGCCAGAGGCTCCCTGTGAAGTTGTGTGAGGTCAGAAGTTTTAGCCTGGAGCATGACCTTGACACACAGGTTTCCATTCCTGGAAAGGTGGGCTGGTCAGTCTGCCTCAGTCCTTGCACCCTTACTGCTGACGATCCCAGAGGGGGAGCTCGAAGGACGATTCTTTATTTCAAATGACACCTCCCTCCTCCCTTGGCAGCCCCTGTTTCCCTTCCCTGCTCACTCTAATTAATAACACTTAACATCATCTGGAAGGATCCCTGGTGGCACAGTAGTTAAAACACTCGGCTGCCGAGAGGTTGGCAGTTCAAACCTACCAGGTGCCCTGTGGGAGAAGGATGGGGCAGTCTGCTACCATCAAGATTACAGTCTTAGAAGCATATGGGGCAGTTCTACTCTGTCCTAGGGCCATTAAGAGTTGGAATCAACTCAGTGACAGTGGGTCTGGTTTTGAATCACCATCTGACATATTTATTATCTCCATCCTTCCCCCCCACACACTAGGATGTCAGACCCTGCAAGACAGGCATTTTTGTTTGCTTTGTTCAGTGCTGGGCAGGCTCTAGGGCCCAGAAGAATACCTGGCACTTAACTGACCCTCAAATATTTTCTGGACTAATGAATGACTGAATGACCAAATGGGGGCCATCACCTTCCTTGGTACTGTAGTCCTCTGGGGGTGAGATCACATGGGCATGGGCCTCCGTTTCCTCATTTGTTACCTAACAACAATCCTTATCTACTTCAGGGGAATGGTGGGACGTTTGTGTACTTGGCACAGTGACTTGTATACAGGAAGTGCTCAATGCTTGCTGTCGCTGCTATTATTTTATTAAAATTATCATGACTGCTACTATTAGCATTCTTGTGACCTCTCCTCTCTCTCTGCTCAGCACCAGTCATGAGAAAGTGTACTTTCCCGACATCCGTTACTAAAGAATTATCAGCCCAGGAGGGGAGGGACCACTTTTCTTTTCATTGGAGTAAATGAGCCAGTGACAGGACTGTGACTAAATTGGAGGGGTGCTCCCAAGTGCTGGGAGGTTAGGGGAGGCTCAGCATCTAAACCAGAAATGCAGGTCTGACTCCCACCCCCCAGAAACCATTTCTCAAGGTGCCATCAAAGACCAGCCTTTTAGTCCCTGGCTCAACCAAGGGACTGAGTTCTTGCTCTGGCCATAATCAGATAGACGAGAGCCAAGGCCGGGCCCACAGCGGCCTCCTGACCAAAATCAGAGAAGAGAGGCCCATAAAACCTAATTGGAAAAGTCGACATTAAAAACGATGCTTGAGCCTGCAGTCCAGAGCCTTCCCAATGATTTCCTCTCAGTTTTGGACCTCATTAGTCTCGGCAACCTGACTGTGGCTGCTGACAGGCATGGCGCGTCAGTCCTGGGACACTCCCCAGGGCCAGGACAGCTGTACGAGAGCAGCAGAAACAACACAAACCTATGACAGCACCTCCCTGGAGCCAAGGCCGTGGAGGCTGGGCTGCCCAGGATGCCCCTTCTTTGATTAAAGCTTTGAGCATTGCAGAGGGCTCTGTGTGTAACTCTTAGGATGGAAATATACCCTGGGTGGTTATAGGTTCACATCCTGAAAAGGGGCTGGCAGGCCTGGCTCAGCCCTGGGAAGTCTGTAGCCTATCTTCCCAAGAGGAGTGCTCAGACAAGAATCTATCATTAAGATTACACTCTCCCTCTCTTCCCGCCGCAGTTCCCATCCCGTCACTGCAGCCCTTATTGTCACCTGGCCCATCAATAATCCAGTGCTATCCATGAGCTGGGGAGCTCTGGTAGCATAGTAGCTAAGGCACTTGACTGCCACCCAGAAGGCTAGTGGTTCAAACCCACCAGCCACTCCTCAGAAGGAAGGTTGGGCAATCTACTTCCACAGTGATACTGCCTCAGAAACCCAAGGAGGGGTCGCTATGAGTCGGGTCCGACTTGATGGTAAATAACAACAACAACAACAGTCCATGATCTGAGTCCCCTCCATCACAATGGCAGCTTCACACAGTCAGGGACTTTTATGATTTGTTCACTGTGGTGTGTCTACGGCACTCAAATATATCTGGACAAGTGAATGAATGAAAAATGTCACTTATCACCCTCCCTGGAGCTGGCACTTTCTGGGAGTGAGACCTCTGCCTGGTTCTCCACCAGGAGCACCATTTGACCACAGGGTGACTATCCACTGTGGGGTCAACTACAGATTCCGCAAGTTTCATGACAGATTCACCTTCTGCTCTTTTCATGAAGGAGCCCTGGTGGTGTAACGGTTAAGCACACAGCTGTGAACCAAAAGGCTGGCAGTTCTAACCCACCTAACAGCTCTGTGGGGAAAAGCCCTGGTGACTGGCTCCCGTAGAGATCACAGCCTAGCAGACCCTGTGGGGCAGTTCTCCTGTCACATGGGGTCTCTGTGAGTTGAAGATTGACTTACTGGCCCCTAATAACCCCTATCATGACTAAGCCTAAGACAGACAAGTCACCAGCTTTGCAGCCTCTGTTAAACATGTCTGCACGTGCTTCTCTTCCATTCTCCCCTTGAAGGAAAATATTAGTAACAATATCACGGATATCAGCTTACTGTCTACCAGGCACTGTGCTAAGTGCCACGAATGCATTTAGTTCCTAAGTCTTATAGGGAAGGTGCCATGATAAATCTCGTTTGACAGATGAAGGCAGCGAGGCTCAGAGAGGTAGAGTCACTTGACCAAAGTGGCACAGCCGGGACCAGACGTCAGGGATCCTGACCCTAGGCCTGTGCTGCCTCTCAACACCGCAGGGGCCTTCAGAGAGAACGCCTTACCTGGGTGGTAGGTAAAGTGCTGAGGCTGACTTCGTTTCCTTTTCCCATTGATGACATAGAAGTTCACCTTCACAGCCGCACGGATGTGCTTGTTCCGATACTCAGGGATCTCGACAAAGAGCATGTTCTGAAAGGAAGGAAAGTCGTTCACTCTGACAATGTCTAAATTCCTGTGTGAGGCCCCACACGTACTCCGCCAGCCCACCTCCAGTGAGTCCTGACACCTTCCATACACCTCCATAGGTGAGATTCTATCTCAGGGAAATCAAGCCTTTCTATTGCAGAGGCCTTCTATCAAGGGACATTATAATGTCACAGCTACAAATCAGGGGGCCAGCGCTCAGGGAACCTTAATACCGTCATCAACTCGTGTTTATGGAACGCCCCCTGGGTCCCAACACGGTGTCTGGGACTTCGATGAAGGAATGGAAAGAGGAAGAAGGAAACAGCACGAGGGAGGCAGAGAGAAC